TGTCTGTGTCATATGAAGATTTCTATATTTTAAATGAATATAATAAACCATAAACTAAGGCATTTTAAGGCCTTTTTTAGAGTTGCTTTTTTTTCCCCCCAAACCATAGTATGAATTTAAGACTTTTCCAGAACCCACTCCACATCACAAAGATTTTCCCTTCAGGTTACGTGATTATTAGCTGACATTCAACTTTAATATATTTCCTCAAATATTAAAGGAAACTGCCTTAAAACCTGAGACCACAGCTCTGAGAATATTCTACACTTTAAAATAATTGGCTGACAAAGAAAATTGTATTTGTGAAAACACCTTGTCTATATTTTCACTAAAATGATCATGAAAGTTAGGGAAAGAGTTCAGAAAACAATAAACATGTAAGTTCAAAGCATTCAGGCTACAACAGTATGGATAGCAAAGAAAACTCTTATAAAAATATTGATATGCCAAAATTTGCCTCAGCTTTCAGCAGGCAGGGGGCAATGAGTGAAATACACTTCTTTATTTACAATACACTGTAGTATCAAGGCATTTTGCAAGCAAAGTCATCCTGACTGAAGCTCTTAGCCTGAATAACAAGGCAGTGAGGTAAAAGAAGAGGGAGAAGGGAATAAACAGATGCAAGAAATAGGGAAAAAAATGATTTTATTTACTCTTTCCAAAATGCTGGCATGTCTACCTTTATTACAATGCACAGTACCATTCTCTAGTTAAACAAGTATATATATAGTTGGCTTTCTCACTGTCTTCTACTTCAGTACTGGCAGACAGTGAAGCCTGATATTTTATCATAAGATAAAACATTTAACCTAAAAAGAATGATACCCCCATCCCCCTTATTTTGTTGCAAAAGAAGGGAAACAGAAAGGAGCAGTAAACTACGAGTAATGAAAGTAGAATTTTGGTGCACCTAAATAGGGAACTAACATTTTACACAAGGGCATCAGGCATCCACATGAGATTTTCAGAAGTTTTACTATGCACTGGGGGAGAAAAAGATGTTTAGTCACAGGACTTTGGTAACGGATGAGAAAGAGGTGGAGAGAAGTGAATAAAGAGGTCATGATAGTCAAAGCAGGAAGGCAGCATGAATACAGTCAGACAGAAAAATGTTTCCCAGTGGGAGAGGACAGTACTACTTATTTAATAAGGAAGCAGACTGAAATCAGACTCCAGAATCACAATGACTCTGTATGCTAAATGAAAATTGTGCAGCTGTCAACGATGAAGGAAGAAGATGGGCTAGGATGTAAAAAAGGAAGCAAGGATAATTCAGAAAGCAAGGATTAATCCCATTTTCTCTGCAAACTGATTAGATTATCAGGAAAAAATTAAGGAAAAGGAAAGTAAATAAGCTGAGCACTACAGAAAAGAAGAAAAATCATCCAACCCTATAACAAACAAAGAATTAATGATAGGAAAAGAAAAAGTTCTGGGATTCACAGCAAACTGAAATACTTCAGGCACTGGACCAAAAAAAAAAAAATGTTACAGAGGGAACAAAAAAGGAAAGGAAAGAAAGTGAAAGTGTCCGTTCTTACTAGGCAAGGACAGACTGTCTTTAAAATTAATTGGTGCTATCTACTTCCTGTCTACAAATAGGGAACAAAAAAAATTAAAAATCACTAATTTATTAGTCTGAGCTACAATAGTTCTCAGGGATTTTTCTAAGGACACCTGACACAAAAAGCTATAATAGGTAATACGCAAAAAAAAAAAAATAAGGAAGAAAACTTTTACATGACAGAGAGAATTAAAATGTCCAGTCATGAACTCATAGCAGCATGCATATTTTCTTCTATAATTTCCCCTCCTCTCTTCTATACAGCATTTGTTTGTCTGACAAAGCTACAGAATGCTAAAGCAAAGGTTATTTTGCGTGTTTGGCATAACAGTACTACTTGTTCTACATCCACAACTATGGCTACATAATATATACACTGGCTAATTTTACGTCATTGCAAACAGTTATACCTAGCACACATTAATCACAGAAAGCGGCTTCACATTGGCTAAGATTGTTTCAGATAATTTAATAGAGGAAGCACAAACAGAAGTGAAATCCGGCTGTAGCTCAGCTAGTTCACCTCAAACCAAAAGCACACCTAGTGAAAAAGCTGAATTCAAGTAACTGCCGTTGGCATGCAACACATATTCAGAAGTGAGCGATGGTTAGGACATGTCAACTGAAAAGAACTTTTATGTTCCATTGCTTGGCTCCTTGCAGGTGACTTGTGTGTCCATCTTAGCGTTTCACATCTCCTAAGTAATATTTTTTGTTCTCCTAAAACATTCAACTCCGCAAGCACATTCAGAGAAAAACAACCTTGAAATGTGAAACCAACCTTGCAATCTAAACTGCTAACATCTAGCAAAGTAACAGTCACTTTCAAAGTTGGATTAATTTGGCATGAGACATATCTAGGAAGCAAACTGCAGATATGGAATTGTATGTATATGCCCCTACCTAATCATTTTATTTAGTAATTAAATGTCACTTTAGTTTGATGAACATTCTGGTAGAGTGCTGCTAGCATCACAAATGCCTACACTGCCAGTCATAGTACAGCTTCCAATTACTTGTCCCTCCCAACTTATCCATAAGGATATGCACAATATCTCCATAACTCATATCCCCACACCTGTGACAGGTGAAAGTCACATTCATTAATACAAGCAGGAAAAGAACAAAGTCATGAGCTTGGATCGCTGATGGGCAATTTAGCAGTAGCAGTCCTAAATGTTACCAGGTAATAATGCTGTCATCACAGGATGCTAGGGCAGCACCTCTCCATTCTGGCCTCTTACCATTTCACTCCCCAGAACTTGAATAATGTTACCTCCATAACCTCACTATGCCAGCAATTCAGAGGGAAATAAATACATTTCTTCTTGTACACAACTATAATTTATTTTCTGCTTCTAATAGTCTACATAAACATTAAAAAACTGACATCCAGTAGTTCAGTCTGCCGGTACCCAGAAGGCAGCTGCTCTGAAGCATGTGTCAAAGTAGTCAAACTTACACTGCAGTTTTTATTCTGGATAGAAGACCTCTGGAAGACCTACAGCTCCAGATAAGTCATTCCTAAGGTCTGCAGGAAACCTTAGTAAAATAACAGAGAAGCCCTCTTCACAGGTCCTCAAACCATCACTGTTTCAAAGCCCAAATGCAAGAATGCTGTCTCCATACTCAGAGATATCAAATAACTTCATCCTTCAACATGAGGAAGTGAGTGTGGTGAAGTTTCAGAACTCCTGTCTTCTCTGCAATATTATAATTGACTTATTTTTATAGAGCAAGTCATGTAGCTATAAATCTTTCTAAACCAATCTTCTAGAAAAAAAAAGAATTACAGGAAAAAACAGCACTATAATTAAGAAGCAGAAAATCAGATACAACTTTAGAAACTTCAAATAGGGTACTTTAAAGGTGATATCTTTTCCCCTTAAAAAAAATTTAAAAAATTAAATCCAACATTCATTTTCAAACAAAAGATTGAATGTAGTCACAATTGTCAGAGAAACACCTCCAGTATAGAACCTGGAGGGCTTTAACTCCACATCATGATTCCGGCAGCATGATTCACTTCTGGGTTGCTGAGAAACTACCCTCTTCGTTTTTTTTGTGGGTTGTTTTCTCTTGTTAGGAAAACATAGGCTTCCAATATGAGGCGTAACTGACCTGGAAAAGCTCATTTCTTGTATAGTGAATTCAAAGTCCAACCTGCTCAGTGGGGCCTGAATTTCATCCTTCAGCCACATTGTTCCAACAGAGACAGAAAAAGAAAAGGACTGTCGCTGCCCATCTTTCTTCCTCTAAATCCTGCATTTTTTTTATTTATTTATTTTTTTATACTTCACATAAAAGTATACTAAGCCAACTACATCAGAAACATTACAAAGAAAAGCGCATAATAATACAGTGTGCCCATCCAGCAGGCATTTTGCCTGTTTGTTTTTATTACTAAACTTCATACATGGAGGAGAGTTAGGAGAGAAGCTAAAGAGATAAAGACATTTACTTACATGACAATCTGACTGTTTTTTCTCTTTTACTAAGTTTGCCCTGGATCACATACCACAAGCAATGTATTCAATGTCAAAATACTCCATATTCCACAAACATTAAAGGCAGAAGAAAAGAAAGTCAGATAAAGTAGGCTATTTGTCTGCCAAAGATGTAATCACATTAAAAACCTACCTTTAAATTTTTTTTTTTTTTAAAGCATACTGCTTGTTTTTATTTGTATTTCCATTGGTACTTCTTTGAAAAATTAGAAATCGACATGCTATTCATGCAATTCTAAACTTTCATTTTTCCTCTATAAATGAATATAGAGAAAAAGGCCAAAACTATCAGGCTAGGATTAGGGTATGAAAACAATCAAGGCTACCATTATACCTGCATATGTAGCTCAGTCAGTGTACAGTAAATAAATACATAAATAGCTTTCCAAATTCTTTTGACCTACTTCAGATGATGAAAAGCCTGGAGCTCTATTATTTGCTGTCTTACATTTTAGCTTCATTTAAATTGAAGCAAATAATCTGAAAGTGCATTCAGATATTCATATTACATTCAATAGCCACTACTTGAAATTAATTACCAGTGTTTAAGTTGGGGACTTCTGCCAAACCAGCCAACTCCCTGGTCTGCTCAACCAGGCAGGAACACAGGAACATTCAAAATATCAGCACTGGGCCCAGTGCAAGACAAACCTACTTAAAGCACAGGAAAACCACAGAAACCATTTTCAGGACAACCACAAATCCCAGGCATTTACAACAGGATGCCTGCAGAGCTCAAACAGACGTAATACTTCCACAATTTCCAAATTCCTTTTTCCATGGCAAAGTACTCCAAAATTGCAGTTACTTGGTATAATGCCATAATGGGATGATAATTGCAGGCTGGCAAAGTCTTTGACTACAACAAATGAGAACAAGCCCAAATACAGCAGCCATGGATACAGAAATGAAGAAAAAGAGCTGATTACCTTTGGATAGCCTCAGGTAGGCAGGGACTTCCAGCAAAAGATGCCCACACCTCTACTTCCAACCCTTAAATGAAATGTGGGAAGGGGTAGATCCTGGCTCCACCTCTTCTGGTCACTCAAAGGCATTGCATGCACCTGAGTTCCCCTGGGCTGGCCCTGCCTTCCCACCAGGTGCTCAATCACTGGCTCAGGAGCATTTCCACTAAAGGAGCACTGAAGCACACTAAAAGGGAAAAAAAAAAAAAAAAATTAAAAATTTTTGAAAAATCAAAGCTTCAGCATTTATACAGATGTTTATATCTGAGGACATCCATCTTTCAAAAATACCTGGTCAGGTATTCCTAGGATCACGTAAGTATGTTTTGCATGAGAGAGAGAGAGAAACTATGAAGAAGGAAATCATTGGTCAAAGATCCAAATGAATACAGGAAAACATGACCAGTTTTAAACAGAAAATATATTACTTCTGAAACCAATAATTGCATTTGCTTTGTATTTTCAGACGTGAAAAATACAAGGCTTTCACACACTCCAAAAGCAAAGTGGACCTGACTTTTCTGTAGGCTGTCGGGAAAATACTACTTCTAGAGGAAATAATGATAGCTTTTCAGGAATTAGTGTTCAATAAAAAACTTATCATAGGATTGGTGAACTAACTTCGACGATTCAAATCTCTGTCATAGTCACCCTTTTAGAGCTCAGTAACCACACTCTTATTTTATTGAGCTGTGAAACTGCGTTTCCATGGGAAATGAAAGAGTCCACTCTACTTACTAGAAGTAGATACTAGCCCACGCTGTCCATCTCAAGGCATTACAAGAGAGCAGTGATTACCACATATCAAAACCATTCCTGGAAACTCACTGAATATTGAATCATTAGACAGTTCTGAAACATGTCTTCCAGCCTTGATAAGTTTCCTAACACAGACACAGCCTTAGGGCCTAAACTGGCTACTATTCACATATCACATGTTGTGATATCAGTACAAAAGTAACAAGGTATAAGATAACAGCTTCTTTATTTATTTTTGTTACTGTGAATATTCTACTTAAAATTATTTTCAGACTATCATATTGAAGACATGTTAAAGATGTGTGACTCCTTTCCACTGCTTTATAAAACCTGGGGGGAGAAATAAGCTGAACAAGAACAGTTTGTGAAAATAACACATCCAGTACCAAAAAAAAAAAAAAAAAAAAATCACAGGCAGAGGCAAGAGCTATGCACTTACAGTATTTGTGCTAAGCATGTTATTTTATTTCACTTCCAAATTTAGGCAGATATCCCTCCTACTGGTTGTATGGCAAGCACCGCGATATTGAGAAGTTCTGGGCTCTCGAAGCATACATGCACAATGTCTTGTAAAAACAGTTCTCATTTGTTCTTGTTGTTTCCATTAATTCAGAACCAGATCTGTTTTGGTTTAAATCTAACGTGCTAGCAAACCTCTGAAATTCAGAGCATAGTAAGGACTTGCCAAGGTAAAATATGTAGCACTAAGATGATGCGTATGCCTGAATGAACAAGCATACAAAAGGCTGAGTTAAAGCTGGCTAACACTTCTCTTAAACATTGCTGAAGTTGTTTAGAACTCTGTCAAAACTGCTGGGCTAATTTCCACAAAAGGCATTGATCCTAGACTGAAATTTTCTGAAGTCTTCAGCAAGATGGTGAAAGGGTGCCATGAACAGGCATTTCCCTACTTTTGTTTTGTACGGTTACAAACCAAGCTGGAGGCCAGATTCTACATTTTGAACTGCTGTCTTTCTGGAAGAAGGAAACTGTGCATTTTGTATGAAGATGCCACAAGAGATGAAGAGGAACAGATTCATATGAGGAACAAAGAAAGACTTTCTTCCTGCAAAGGTTAACTTGGAAACATGAGAGAGTTTAAATAGGAAAGCAATACCAGAACTCTCTGGTCTTAACAAAAGGACATGAACTGAGAATCCAAGGCAGTAGACACTGTAACAGGGAAGAAGAGAGGGTGAGATGGAGTGTAGGCAGAGACGCAGATTGCACATGGATGTGAAGGAGGATATCGATTTATACTGCTGTGTAATACTGGAGTCACTTGTCCACTGAGATACTTTTCTCAGATGCACAGTCAGTTTAGCCATATGGGTAAAATATCCAAATCCAAGAACAAGGAAGACAGAAGGGTGACTTTCTTTGTGCCTGCACTGTCTGGGATAAGAAGAAAAATCTTCAACTAGTTACAGACAAGACCTCCTAAAGTACTTTGGTGGAGCATGGCATCTCACATTTCCAATCTCACAAAACAGAAAGCATAAGTGACAGGAAAGAAAATAAACTAAGGAAAGAAAATGAAGAGAATTGAGGAAAAAGAAAATTCCCTCCTAGAATTGCAAGCAATATTAGCACAATCTCCATGTTTGTCACCTCCTCATTCCAAGAAAGCTTTAAAAAATTAAGACGAAAGCTAGTACCTTTATGGTTTCAATTTTCACTTCTATCTAGCACTGTTGAAACCCAGGGTATATTCCTGCATATAGAAAGTCTGCATTCTTAACGTATTACTTCAGGCACGGGGCCTGGGAACCAACGTACTCATTTCTTTGCAGAAGCATTTATACAAACCTGCTAACTCCTGACTTTTATCTTGGAGTAGGTACTTCAGGATTTAAAGCCAAGGAAAAAAAAAAAAAAGTTATTAAAGAAAGGAGAAGACTATATATTGAGATGTCAGCACATTTTATGACTCTATATATGAATCAGTAAAAGAAACTGAAATATGGGCAAAATAGAGGCAGATGAGCCCACAGACAGTATCACAGATAAATGGCTGCAGAAAAGATGACACTGAAGAGATAGAAAGAAATAAAATACATAAAGTGAATGGGAGCAAAATACTTCCATACATGATAGGAACTGCAAAGGCTAATAAGTTAATTGAAGGTACAGAGAGAAATAGTTTTGCATATTAGGCCAATTTTAAAAGTAGTTTTCCAAATCTATTTTCTCCATTTCGGATTTTCAGACCATGTAGAATTTGAATACTGGGCAGTGTTCAAATGAAGAGATACTTGCTTCACGTTCACAGAAAAGAAGAAAAGCTTTTATCCCCCACTGCTACAGAAAAACAACACAAGCTGTTTCAAGATACAGCTATCTATGGGAATTTCCAAAAGAAAATGGGAGCTTGGATACTTAACTTCTACTCCAGTCTATAGAAGTTCTGTGTAGACATTTTTCAAAAGCTCATGTAAGCCTTTCTTGAATTTTCAAACATTTTGATATTGACAAATCCATCACATTGATTTTTTATTTATTTATTTTGTATAGTTGGGTGTTTTTTTTTTTTGTATGGGTGGTTTTTCTTTGAGGAGCAGGAAGGGACAGGAAAGAAGAAGGTTATTACTTAATGTGAGGACAAATACTGAGAAATTTTTATTATTCTATTTCAGTGAGTGACTCAGCTAGTTAGCACTCAAACTGTCTGCAGTGTTGATATTTAATGTAATATGAGTTATGGAACAGCACTTTTATATATATATATATATATATATTTTTTTTTTTTTTTTATTTTTATTTTAAACTTATACACATCAACATCTCACTTCCAAAACTGAACTAAACCTTCCAGCTGTTATTTGGTTAAATGAGGGAAGAGAGGGAATCTGCATTCCAGCAAAGTTTCCTTCATGAGACAGGAAAGAGAACTAATAGCAAAACATAGGCAAAGAGTATCTTTTCTCTCTGAAAAGAAAACAGGGTCTTGCTAAATCTTACTTACACACATAGTTGAAACATATCAAGATAGGCTTTACTATTCAAAAATCTTGGCTAGGTTCTAATATCAAATGATTTGCTGATGGGCGATTCCTTGTATTTTCTCTACACATAATCAGAACTAGCCAGAAACATATACACATTTAATTTATTTAAGTGGATTCCACCTAAATACAGGGCCTTCCAGTCAGCAAAACTTTGGAACAGAACCTAACAGTACACTAAGCTTATGATAAGATTTCACCACCACCACTACCCCCACCTTGCGCTCTTTATTATAAAAAACTAAAATTAGCTTACTCTTAGTTCATATGCTGAACACCATCAGAGCAGAAATGGTTCAGTAAAAGCCACCATGCAATTACTACAGCCTTCCTGCTTCAGCTCCTAAATAAAGTTCTTCATATGCCTCTTTCATTCTTCTTGAGATTAACTACAGAAATTATATTTGTCCCTTGTTATTTCTTTATTACCACCTTTCAGCTATGATCCTATGTCACAGCAAGATCTAATTCACAAACTAGCATTCCTGTTTTCAGTGAAATTTGGTTCTAATAGGTATCCACAGTATCCATATATATATTTTATATGTAGTAGGAAAGAGGCAATAGGCACAGTGACCTTATAACTTAGTGGGACAGAATTATTAATGCCATGCCCTGCAAGACCTGAGGAAGGGAATTTTTCACATCTAATGATTCATTTGAAGAGCATATGAAAGATGCAGAGAAGCAAAATATTTCTCTCATTTACCATTTTCCACCTGTCCTATTTTGGTGGAGTCATCTGTTCTGGCTAACTGGACATACACCTCTTTACATTAATTAGAGCAGTGATAGCTTAGGTTAGACACCAAACTCAGAAAGTTAACATTACACAGAGAGAAACCAGGTCATTTTCTTTCAGTGCTATACCATGTAAGTGTTTCTAGGCCATTCCTCCAGCAAGAGCATGCTGAAAGCAATCAGTTCTCAAATCTACAGAAGGTCAGCTGGCATAGTTATGCACTATTGGCTCGAGCATCATTAGAGACTGTCTACACACCCCAAAACTTGATATTTTGCATTATCTTGCTCTAGAAAAGAAAACAGGATTATTGTGGTAAATCATACTGATCCTGGAACCAAGGACTGATTTTAGCATTTTTTCCACCAATACAGATTTTAACTTTTAAAGCTATTCTGCAGAGATGGAAAAGAACAAAGGCTTAAAATCAACACTTAACAATTCTTTGTTATAAAATAACCTCTCAAAGCTAGTAATCCAAGCCTGCAAGACATTACAATTTACATTTTCCCCTCACCAGCACCCTGCATTGCCCACTCCTTTGCTATTAATCTTTAACTCAGTATCACCTTCAAAAAGTTTAATTGTTAAGTTGGAAACAATCTTCAAAAATACCAGAATCAAACCAACTCTCACATGGAACTGGTATTGCAACCCAAAGTCTTTTTATGCT